ACAGCTTCCGTACAAGAGGAGAAGCACAGAATGCTAAAATGCTAGCCACCTTAATTCAAATGGAATGGAATTGTTTATTGAAGATCACTGAAATAAAGTCGCTCTAATTTGAGTAATGAGTGAGCTTACTGCACCGCTAACAGTGATTAAAAAAATATCCCGCAACCACCCAATCAGCAGTCAGTTTTGGCCTGATGGCAACTTAGATGATCTCTGCTGAAGTTTGATTTGAGGCAGAGTTTCGCTTCCTTCTAACGACTTAATTAACCCAGAGGCTGACTCGTCGGTAATTTGTGTCTCATCGTTAGCGATGAACATTACTGTACAGGCCGGAGTAGGAGACTAGATTCGCCTCACGAACCGAAGTGAAGCACAGCGTGTGTTGGTGCTGGGAAGTGAGAGCATTAATTCCGCCTCAGATTGCTACACAGTCTCCTTTACATCGGCCAACAAAGAGGAAATGAATTCTGGGCGCATACCTTGTTCAGTGCACTAGCTCTGGGGTTATTCCTTTAGATTTCGGTCTTTAGCGCTTTCCCGTAGATGATGATTCCTCTCCAGTACTTTGGTGACGGTACGAGTCGTCGGAATACAACATCTGTATTTGTCAATAATTTCGTGCAAATTTCTTGTTATCTGGGGAGTGGTTGCACTTCTCAGTTAGCACTGCATTCCAGTGATCGCCCATCGTGGGGTCAATGATTCATACCTTTCCCAAGAATACCGCAAGGATTAGGGCATTTGCAGAGTACAAGGGGGATCGGTATGGTAAGAAACCACTTCCGAATTGATAAATTTTACAAAATGATTCGGCATAGTGCTCCCGAGGGGCATGATTCCTATCTTGTCTTCCATCGAGAAATCTTCGTGTAGAATGTTATCTTCTGTTTGTCTCCGTTATATCCGTACCACGCACTTCTAACATCCCTGCTATTCTTTTCACTACACACATTTTTGTGCCAGGCAGTGCATGCCTTAACCACGCTCCTGCATCCAACTCGGAGACTTCCAGCAGAAAAAGACAAGTCCATAACGTATTTTCTACTCTTGCCTGCTTTTGCACCTGACTCAGGGGGAGAACTGAAGACAAATTCAATCCTAGGTGTAT